GTTGTGTCTGATCCTCTGAGCTGCACACAGTCAACTGGCTGGATTTTGTAGGTTTAGACAGCAGAGAGGCCCTGCACTGCATTAGTCATAAACCCAGCCACAGCGAAACCACTGCCGATGGCTTGTGTTAATACCATAACTGGGTCATGGCTGGCCTCAAACTGAATGTGCTTAACATGATTTATTGAGTGACATTTGTCTTTGCGATTTATGTTTCAGGAGGCAATGGAGAAAATGGCTAAAGTGGGGAAAGTTGTTCAGCCTGACAATGAACTCCAGAGGTGAGAGATTCCTTTTTTTAATATTTGGTGAAGTTTCTGTAAAGGTATTTGGGATAGTAACATAAATGGATCAAATCTGATGCTCAATTCAGTGAGAATGCAATAATTATTTTTTATCAAAAACAAATTTGCCTTTCCATTCCATTTATCATAATGAATGTCCTACCTTTTCCTTTCTATTCTATTAATTTAATGTCTTATACATATATACGTACGTGCAATTACATAAAATATATATTTAATGTCTTATTCATATATACGTACGTGCAATTACAAACAATATATATTTAATGTCTTATTCATATATACGTACGTGAAATGACATACAATATATATGTTATGCTTTTATTTCTAAGGTGAAACCAACTGCATTGCTTTTAAACATGCATAACGAGCCATATGGATAAAGATTGATTGTATTCTTTATTTAAGGTGAAACCAAAATGTATAATATTGAACTAACATCCTGTAAGTCAAGGCCCGGTTATGAGAGAACTCCACTATGTAAGAAATCTGTATGTTTTATTCGAAAGAAAAATATACCTTTTATAATGCATCAAATGTGCGTAATCTTCTGCATTTCATGCATTTTTCAGCTTCTATGAGAGAAAGTACAAGGTGTTCCTGCGGCTGTTCGCCCACCAGAGGGAGTACCAGGCCCTCATGAACCAGAGATGACACCACCGGTGGGAGGCGGCTGAGCTGGAACTGACTCTCTCTGATGTAATAGTGATGACAAATCCACATACTGGAAACACGAACACGCGTCTTAACCTTGCCGCTTGTCCTGATGTCATTAATGGTCCCTACCTGAAGGAAAAGCGCGTCAGTGGTTTAAGTAGTTCTGAATGTATGACCGGTGGCACAGTTTAGACTTCACACATGCAGGATTTCAAACCACCTGGCAGATGACAGTAACAGGGACCTCCCTGTAGACAAGCTGTAGAGCTTTTCCGTCTTTTAGACCCACTGCTGCTGTTTTAGCTAAAATGAAGAGCAGGATGCAGCAGTGAATGTGGGGACACCATTGACCAGCTCCACCCAGAGTCAAATACCATCAAGTTCTGTTAACTTCAAATGTATTCCTAATAAATAATTAAAATAATAGAACTGTGCTCGTGCCTTGAACTGCAACCTACTGCAACTCCAATGTGCTTTTGATATATAATTTAGTGCACTTCAACTCAGTAGTGACACTCATTCATTTTTTAACACATTTCTCTCTTCACTGTATTACGTTATTCTTCCATTTCCTGTTTGAAACACCTCCACTCTCCTCAAATTCTCCTGTCTGCTGGTCACAGAGAGGAGCCTGTTGCCAGCGGTTCCCAGGATCAAAGTTGATAAGCTCTTCACTGATGCTGTTGACCCGGTGAGGGGGAACGCCAAATCCTACACAGCTGAGTTAACAGCCGCCTTCAAACAGAGGTAACATGGTGGCCAAAAGTCAGGGCTGTAGTTCACCGTTTGCTAAACATCATTCTTTAATCTAAAAATGATGGGGGAAAAAGAGCAACCTTAAACCTTTTATTGTCATACACAGATGCCATTTAAACACTCGAGTATAGATGCAGTAATTACACAAGACTTTCATTGAAATTAGTTTGTCATGGCAAAACTAATGCAAAGTTACACTAATCAGGTATGTGAAAGAAGACAATTTCACAAATACTAAATAATTAAAACATTTGTAATAATAATGAAGTAAACCTCCTCATAAAATGAGCACCGAGGCATGGGAATAGTTTTATTTGCTCTCATTACGTCATCCTTTGTGTAAACTGGCACCATGAACCACTTCCTCTTGCACTGGTCCTAAAAGTAGAGGTACATGGGTAAACAATACACATCTTATTCTGCCATACTGTATATATTATTATATTATTTTATCATTAAATATGAAAATATATTCCCATCTCAAGCCCTGCCCTTCCAAAAAACATCCCCCTTTATAAAAGTAAAAAGTCCTATATATGTTCTTTAAGGCACTGGTTTTCATTCCATACATGTTGTCAGGGACTGGTTTGTTTATCTACCTGGTAGGGACAAAAACGAGCAGTACTCAAAGTCCAGGGTTGAGAGGTGCTGGAGTAAGGTACAGTCTGTGTGACAAAAGTGAGTGTTGAATATCTGTGCTGTCTCTTATGTGTGCTTATGGCTTGGGTGTGTAGCGCAGGTACTTCTTGCCAGAGGGCAGATCTTTGGTGTAGATGCCTTCTGGGAACAAAGAGGCAGCCTCCTCCTCAGACATGTTGGGAGGGACCATCACACAGTCTCCAGGCTGGAGGAAGACAGATGCAGAGAGAAAACGAGGTTATTCTACGTGGCTGTTCTGTAGTCTGCTGCTGAAATGTTTGCTGACAACTCAGAACACTTTCCAGCGTTTGACCTACCCTCCAGTCAGCAGGTGTGGCCACACGTTTCCCTGCTGTGATCTGGAGCGAGTCCACCACTCGCAAAATCTCATCAAAGTTGCGTCCGGTGGTGGCTGGGTAGAGGAGTGACAGTTTCAGCCTTTTGTCAGGGCCAATGATGAACACCTACACACAAACAAAGAGATGGAGCCTGAGACGGTTAATTAACACACTAGTTTAAGTTATTAAGTTTGAAGGCTGCCTATAAAATAGGAAAATTGGATTTTAATTGTGAAGACTCTTACACAGCGGGCAGTGAGCGGCAGGCCATCTTTGTCCTTCTCATCGGGGTCCAGCATGCCCAGGGCCACTGCCAGCTCCCGTTTACTATCTGCTATGATGGGATAAGGCAGCGAGCAGCAAGCAGACTCCTCACAGTTGTACGCCAGGATGTCCTGGTTAGTACAGAGACAGTAGTTAGCTACACTGATGGACCCAATCCATGCCAGAAAAATGCCCCCCACAGCACAGCAGAGCCACCGGATCCCCCACTGCAGAGGGTAAACCACTCAGGCCATCATTCTCTTGGTGTACGTCATACACTTTATGAGGATATGGCGAAGGGTGAGCCATCTGAACACATCACATCTTTCCACATCTCAGTAGACCAGTGCCAATGTTTTTTATTCACCACTGAACTCTCAAATGTGCATTCATCTTTGTAATGAGAGATTTATCCACTGCAACCATACTATGGCAAAATCAGAATCAACTGAGTCTACATTTTTATAAATGCCACAGAGCATGATTGGATGTTAAATGCTTAATTGTCCCATGCAGTGCATCTGTGTGACAGCATCTGGATCTGTTATTTTCTCCACTCATTTACTGAGGTTTTTTAATATGTCACTCATCTGTACATTAATTGATATTTAGGGAAAAAAACTTTTTAATGTTTAGTGCTGCACACACAGTAGAGTACAAATTTATCAAAATATAAATTTGGCTATAAGATTGTTCCTAAAATGGCTGCGCTATACAGTATACTAATTTGAACTTTACCAACAACCCTTAGATTCAACCTTTTCCTTAAATGCAACTGATGTAGTCCTGTATGAAATACAGTCAAACTACTTTAGATACATTCAACCATATAATCTTATTTAAATTAATGCTAAAATTGTGTTTTCTCCATTGTGAAAAAATTGTTCTGCAGAATTCTGAGGCTTTATGACTGTAAAACATCCTGGAAGGTTGTGATATCTCACATTCAGTAACTTCTGGATGCCAGTTTTCCCAATAAGCATTTGAAATATAAGGTTATGTTTAACCGCATCTTCAACAGCATTTACACAACATCCTTCTAAGAACCTTCCAAGTTGACCCACTGTGGGCAGCCTTGTGCCTTCCCAGTTTGACTGATATCAGCTCTGTGTGTTACTCCAGATGTGGTCTCAGAAACACCTTGGTCCAGCCGTGGTGATCCTCCAGGCAGTCGATGGAGAGGGCGATCATTTTGACGTTGCGTTTAGTGAACTCACTGCACAGTCGGGCAGCTCGACCCAGCTCTGTGGTGCACACAGGGGTGTAGTCTTTGGGGTGGGAGAAGAGGATTCCCCATCTGGAATGGAAAGAGAGATTAGTGAGGCTGTGTCAGGTGTAATGTCAGCGTTGGTGCTTCTGTAATGAGGAGATGCAAGCTGAACTTTCAATCTCACTCAGGTTTCCTCTCATCACACACCCACCTCTTAATATTGTGGTTACTAATGTTGCACAACAGGATGACTGATGGATGCATCTCACCAAACTGACAGGATGTGAACCCTCTGTCACCCAAAATGACTTTTATCATGAGGTCAGCAGTGTGATTGTGGTCAGTTTACTGATGCTTCTGTTTAAGATCATCTCAATATCTGATCAAGAGCCTTATGACCTGATCACAAACAGCCATAGATTCATTTGTCCACTACATTACTTTTTTTTTTTTTTTATGACATATGCACTGCCAAGCTACAGCACCACAACTATTATAGGTTTATAAGTTTAGATGACACATAAAGCATAGTCAAAGGTCTAAAACAGAAGAAGAAGCAGTAACAGGAACTGGATGCAATATCTCCCTTCCTCTCCCTCTCTCCCTCTCTCTCTCTCTCTCTCTCTCGATAAGAAAACGAATCAGTAACCAAAAATTATAACCATATTCAATGAGCCTACTTACGAATCACCGAGAAATTCGTGGAGTTTAATTTTGCCAGTGGTGGCCTCTGCCTCGAAATCAGGAAATACATCTCCGAGCAGCAGTCCCGGCATATTCGGTGCGATGTGTTCCGTGTGTTCAGCTGCGGTTCTTATGACAGTAGGCGTCAGACGAAAGAGGAGGCGGAAACTTCCCTGTGAACGGGCCACACTATTTACATAAACCTCCACTGTCGACTGCACAGGGCAGCACACAATATACCACCTTCAGACTGATATAATGCGCTGCGTCTGGTTTGTGCCAAGGTTTGAAAATGACCAATTTACGCACGGCCCAGTTTTATTATTATTATTGAAAGTACAGCTGTATTGTTAAGTAGTTTAGTCAGAGAATCAATGACAGCATTGGGGCCTTTTCCGTCCTGGCGGTGTTATTAGATACAATACAGAAAAAATATAAAGAATTAAGTTTTATTTTGACATGTTACAACATGCAAATAGCACCATTTCGGTGGAATGGCCCATTTACAGTATAGAAGGAAGGTACACCATTTCAAACTCAATTACAAGTTAATGGGGAGGACAGTGTAGCCACGTGAGTCGTGACCAGAGCGGTCCAGTTCTGAATCGGTGACATTTTAACCCCTGCGTCCGGACTCACCAGTTTGCAGGATGTTTTGCGTCTGAGCGCAGCAGGATTAAAGAGTTTACTGGCCGCAGGTGGTTGATAAAGAAGGGCGGAGAGGTTACTCCGGTCACTTTGTCAAATGAAAATGTCCGCACCAACGTCCAGACGGAATAGTTGCCGTGGAGTTGTGTGTGGAAACCGGGCATCATCTGATTGCCATGTCCGGCGCCGGGGCTCCAGCTGTTCTTACTTCTCCTCTGGAGCGCAAACTGAAGACTTTTCCGTCAGTCTGAGCCAGCCGATATTCACCATAACGCTCCGGTTCTTGTTGGCAATCGATCTGTGGCTGTCCAAGAGGCTCGGAGTGTGCGCCTGTGAGGAGTCTTCATGGGGCAGCATACGGCCCCTGGTGCGGCTGGTGGAGTTCTCTGGGCATGTCATCCCGTGGCTCGTCGGCACCGTGTACACTCTGCTGCGGGGAGAGAGTGCGGCGGAGCAGGAGATCATGCTGAACTTGGCCCTGGGTGAGCGAATTGTTTTGAATTTGGGTTATCAAGAATGACTCCAGATGTCAACACTGGTTCGGATTCCTGCAATCAAATTATGAATTCATTTTAAGATTTTTTAAGTCAATTCTCCGCTTCTTAGGACTGCCATCCTTGATCAGCTTATTATTATTCTGGCCAACTTTCCTGAACGCAGCATTAGTATTATATGGAATACAAAGTGCACATTATACGCTAATATATCACCCTGCTATCATTTTGTTGTATTTATCACCACATTAGCTGCGTTATTACGCACATTTGTGCCAACTCCAAAAAGTGAAGCCTTTGCCAGCCAATCAGTGGCTTTGTTGGTCTGAATAATGTTAATGGATATTGATATAGCACAACATAACAGGTCAAAGCCGCATCAGTTCACCCAAACAGTAGAGCTACGGGCTGTTTGTGAATCCCCGTGACCGAGCGAGAAACAGCAACAGCGCAGCAATGGAAAGTTTTCTTCTTTGAGCCCAGCTGATGGCATCTGGGGCCACTGAGAGGAGGCATGCACGCGACATAGCTGATGCTTTATTTGCATGTGTAGATTATATTCGTTGACTGACCGTTTTCAAATCAAGTCCTGTGCTGTTATACTGTATCTGTTGTGGTGAAATACCACAGCTATTTCTGGCACATAATAGCCTGTATGATGCCACTGTGTTCTGGAAATACTGGGGGTAGGATAACCTTTCTTAAATGCTACACACCAATGAGAAATGAACGAGTCAAGGAGAGAACTTGAAATGAAATTAAATGAGTGTGGTGTTGTTACCATTTACATATATTGTACTGCTCTTGTCCAAAGTCACATAAAGAGTTCAACAATCCTTTATTAGAGTTCGGTAACAGTTTCTAGTAAGACAGCCTTTATAAATGTTTATAAGCAGTGACTAATGTTCAATGGTCAGTTATAAGCCATCCATAAGAACAACTTTGGGGTTGCCAGGTTGTGAAAAAAAAACCTTTTTGCTTCAGCAAGATGCTTGCTTTGTCATTTTGTGCTTTCAGTAAAGAGGTGTTTTTGTAAAAACACTTCATTAATGACAATTATAACTGCAGATGTGAGGGCTTATTCAAAAGTGAGAGACTCGTGAGCATTTCATAATGGATTACTAACATTTCTAACTGCATCAAACAGAAAGGACAGACACCAGCCAAGGGGATTTCCCACAAAAAGGAGTTATAAGCAATGGCATATAACAGATCTATAAAGCATTTGTAAGTGATATATTAACCATAAAAAGCTTGGATAAAAATGACAAAACCAAAAAGTATCAAAAAAAGATGTAATATTTATGAGAGAGACTGCATGGGACAAAGAATTTAAACCAACTCTGGAAGACAGTATGTTTAAAACCCGGGTGAGTAAAGGCACAACATTTTTAATTTAACAATAGAAACAGAAATATGGAAGGACATCGGTAACAATACTTGGAAAACTTAAACTTGAAAGATTCATTATTTTGGAGAGAATATGAATATAATTTAGGACCCGAACAACTATTATTTGGCAGAACACCATGCACAGCCACTCTATCGAGGAAATTATAAATATCTTTTGAGAGCTCTAAGAATAGCAGCACTTAAACAGATAATAGAAAATGGCTGAAATCAGAACCACCACAATATAATAAATGGAAGACCACAAGGAAGGAAGGAAGTTACAGTAGTCATTAACATACTGTTGGTTGTTTATTACATGCTTTGTTTTACTTGTTTGAAAAGTAACTACTTGAGGGATAGTTTGGATTACTCTCAAAAGATGATGATGTTCAACAAGGGAACGTGAGCTGAGTTGCCACCAATGTTACATCTCTCTCCTCCTCTCCTCATAGCTCTGTTGCTGGACCTGCTGCTGGTCAGAGCTGTGAAGACTCTGGTCAGACGTCGCAGGCCTGCTCAGAACCGCTCTGAAATCCTCTCCGCCTTCTTTGTGGAACGCTACTCCTTCCCCTCGGGCCACGCCACACGGGCGGCCATGTGTGCCCGTTTCCTCCTTGCCCAGCAGGTGGACACAGCCTCCATGCGGGTCCTGGTTGTGGGTTGGGCCACTCTGGTGAGCCTGTCCCGGCTGCTGCTTGCCAGACACTATGTGACAGATGTGGGCTTTGGCTTGGCTATGGGTTACTGCCAATATAGTCTAGTGGAAAGGTTGTGGGTGACCTGGGACTGCCTGCAGGACCTACTGCTCATGCGACTGAGAGAGAGACTCAACAAGGCTTATAGTGGACTCTGGATGGCAGATTGGAAACGTTAGGCGTATTGGAAGTGTTTGTGTGGGGAAAATGTGTAGCATGAGTGTGTGTAATTCAGGAATTCCCTGCTGTTATAAAAAAGTGAATTTGACTATTTATTGGATTATATCAGAATTACTTCAGTATGCTTATAATTTCTTCTGTTTGTATGTATATTTCTTTGTGTTCTTTTTAATTTTTTGAGAGAAGAATGAAGTGGAAATATTGAAACTGGATGGCTTGGGTAGTTACTGATGGGTTGTAGCATATCAGCTTGTTTGCACAATGGTGCTGATGATGCATGGACTTATTCTTACAATGCTGAAACCAAAGCTGAATTTAAATAGAGCCCTTTTTTAAAATAAAAAGCCGAGATGAGTACCATTTACATATGTAGATTTGTATCTTCAGACAGTGATTATGTTTGTGAATAAGTATGAAAGCTGTGACTGCTGTATGAAAATGCCACTGTCACCCTGCTTCCTGTTAAAGTGAGATTTCATATAAGTATGTGGTGGCACTAGTGGGGGAAGTCAATTCACACTTCACCCAAGTTTCCATCAGCTGCTGCTGAGTCTCCTGACTGTCATTATAATACATCCCATCTCCTGTTACAGTGTTGATCTGTACATACCAGTGCAAATTCCACTCTAAACTACATATACATATATATATATATATATATATATATATAAATATGTGGTGATTTTTTCTGTGGTTGGACATGTCCTTTTCCCATTGCATGATTGAAGTGAAACAAAATGTGTATGCATAATGCAGATGCAAACAGTTGTCCACAGAGGGCAGTGCATAACAAGAATATGGTTGCCAATAGCAACATGATGGAGCAGCACGTTTTGTTTAATGTGCCGCCTGTGAATTATTGTAGGTAGGTAAGCTTATTGCTGCCACACAAACAGTATCTTAAGTTTTGTCATGTTTTGGAGAAAACATTTAGGATCAAAGGTCAAGGGCTCTCTGAGTCACATACAATATGCTCACATAATTGTAGTTCAGTAGCTATCTTGCATTTAGCAGACATTGTTAGCTGCAGTTGGTGCATTTGGTCCCCTCAGGTAGCCAATTGAGACCATATTTAATAATATAATAAACCTAATTTCCATGGAACTGTTATTAAATCACACAAAGCGAACATTTCATACATAGTAAATATATTTACTATATAAACATCAGGTATAGAACAGGAATCACTGCATGAGGAGAAGATACAATGCAAACACTAAATGCAGTGTGTACACAAATGATTGTGGCAAAGCCTTAATTGCAGTATTACAATTCCTGAACGGTTCTTTTAGGACTTGCATGTGTATCATTTATGATACACATGCAAGTCCGTCCTGGTCCAGTACGTAACTTATACACTGTGATGTAGGAACTTGCACATCCACTGAGAATGGACTTTCATATTTCATATTCATAGATTCTGTAATTTTTAATAAAGTAGAAGGAGCAGATGTCTGTTAAGGATTTTAATGTGGAACATGTACCTTTTTATTGCAAAAAAAACCAGACATGTTATTGGTCCAGGCAGACTATTTGTATATGTCCTAATACATGTCTGGAGGAGATCTTTAAGGAAATTCCATTCTGCTGTGTGTCTCTCTACACAGTGTACGTTGATACAGTGTACACTGATCAAAGATAATAACAGGTAGCACAGAATTTCATCATTAGTAAAAAGATTTTTTTATGATTTTTGAAACCAAATGATGACATAAGCAAGCGTGTTATTGTAAATGTATTTTATTAAGAACTTAAATAATTAGAGCATTTATCAACAGATAAAAAAGAGCTACATTAATCTACTGTAGGAATATATTTCTGTTGCCACAATAGATCTTATTTACAATAGAAAAAATATATTTTAATGATGCAAAAACACATACATGAACTCAATGCAAATGATTACATGTTTTTTCATTCACTTGCTCTTGTATCAGTCCTGTGGACAGCAGTTTCTCTCTGACTGTGTCCTCTTTAGTTGCTACCATGGCTGGCCCTGCCCAGTCTAATGTCATAGGTGACCATGTGGAAGTTGTCCCAAGCGTACAGCTTCCTCTGGGCGTGGTTGTAGTCCACCATGCTGTTGTAACGGTACTTGTTCTTGAAGGGCACAGCAACAGCCCGTCCCACGCCTGTTGCGGTGTCAAACATGTAGTTGATGGTGGTGTTGGGCGCAGTGTAGCTGGCTACCGTGTACAGACGTCCGCATACCATGAAAGCATTGGCCACTGTGTTCTTCCTGATGTTGGTCTCCCAGCTCTTCCTCACTTCCAGGCTCTCGGGGTCCAGTTGGGAGATCACAATTGCACCCTTAGCTTTGCTTGTGCTGTATATAGCCCACAGGCCCTGTTCATCTGCCACTAGGTCAATGTCAGTGTAGCCGCCCCATGAGTACGGGTGCTGGCCATGGAAACCAGCATGAGGCAGGTCCAGGCGTGATGCCAGACTCTCAGAGGCCAGGTCGTAACGGATCAGGGTACGGCTGCGTTTGCGCTGGTAGTAGAGGGAGCCGCGGTACATGGTTGCCCCCGTGCTCTCCACAGGCTCTGGTAGGACCAGGACCTTCATAGGGAAGCCTCGGGAGAATTGATCCATGTCTTCATAGGCAAAGAGCTGACGAACATCTTTACCCACTGTGTCGATACGCCACACAGTCTTGTTGGGGTAGTTAGGGCCCTGGGGCTCGGGATCCTGCAGCCACACTCCATACTTCCCTGTGATACTGTCCGCCTTCCTGTGCAACACAGGATCTGCCACTGACTGCAGCTCTCCACAGCCTGGAGACAAAAGAGACTTAGACATGGTGTTTGTTGTATATTTACAATGCTTTTGAAGGCATTCATTTTCATCACCATTTTGAGCAGCTACATCAACATCAGCAAAACCCAACCTTTACCTGTGGAGTTGTGATTTCCCTCTGGAATGAGGCGGGATGCTGGAACCTCTGTAACCTCAGCCTTCATCTCCTGGTACGACCCATTCCCAAACTCATATGCAGGGTCTGGGAGACGTATTTGTGTAACAAAGCAAAATGTTACACACAAATGCTGAAGTAGAATATGACAAAAAATAACAATTTATGTATATGTTAGTCGTAAGCTAAAGTTAAACCATAGTCAGTCCCAACACGAGTGTCTCATTTATTTGCTTCAAAGCACAGCAGGTTCCCCAATACTGTTGCGCGCCTGAGAATGATCACATGCACATAAACAGACATGCGTGAGTAACAAAGCCATAAAAGAAGAGAGAGGGAGTGTAAATTCCAATCCCCTTACTCAACCTGGGACAGCTAACTGCAACCTGAACTGTTGTACCGGGAGACTTTTCATAGCCTAAGTCAAACACAAAGACATTTATCCCCCCAAAAAATCATAAACACAGAAGAGCTATCCTATCATTGCCCCCAAAAGAGAACTTGTTAAATATAGGGGTTAGGAGAAAATGTGCACTTTTGGGTACACAAGTAATTACATAAGTTTTCCCTTTACTCACTGATGTACATACCACTGGCAGGTCTGTTTTCACGCTGAGTCCCCCCAGAGATGTGTGTCTGCTGGCAGGGTTTCTGCCTGAGGCTCTCTGCCTCCTGACTCAGCTCGTCCAGCCTCCTCTGCAGCTCCTGGACCTGTCTGTTCAGGCGCTCCTTGTCTTGCTGCAACTGGTTTCTTTCTCCTGTAACTTTGGAGTAAGCTTCCTGAAGACCCTCTTCAGCGTTAACCCCCATCCCAGTCCCAGTCCCTCCGTCCACTCCTGCTATGAGCTGGCTGACCAAAGCCTCCAGCAGAGTGAGTCGGGAAGAGACTCCATCCATCTCTGGTGTCATGCTGCTTCTGGAGCAGCTGGACTCCTCTGGACTGGCTACAGTGAAGGTGTAGTGGCAGCGCCCCGTGGCGTCATTGGAGCGGCGGAGAGAAGCTCTGTCTTGGGCCTGGCTTTGGCTGGACAGAGTTAGGCAGGACAGACACAAGAAGAACACCTGGAGCCACATTCTGGAGGGTGAGGGTGTCAGTGGTCTTCTGGTTTGGGGAAATTCTCAGGGATGCAACTGTTTATCTTTTTCTGCTCAGTAGAGAGTGTCTCCACCTGACTTATATTTTATCTTTCTTTAGCTGATCTCTTCACACCTGAGTATCCCTGATCAGTGCAGGTCAGTGTCTGAATCCCAGCAAAGCTGACAGAAGGATATTTATACAGTTAACTGTCAGAGAGTGGGAGGGGATGAGGAGTGTGGCAGGGAGGGAAATAGCCAGGGGGGTGTGGAGTGTCTGTAAAGGTCCACGTGTGCCTTCTTTTTGGTGAGGTGTGCTGAAAGTGACAAACAATGTGCAAATCACACAGTATCAGTGGAAAAATACACAATTTGATGTTTGTTTTTTCCTGTAGAGAATTTTTTTTCATTGCGTCTCAGCAGTTGGTATGTCTCTGCAGGTTGTTTTGACTGGACAGCATCTCTTTATGTGTCTACTGGCTGTCACCTGCAGCGCTGTTTACTTCCTCCGTGACGGCTAGTTTTACTATTAAACTCAGTTTATGACCTGGGTACGGGGTGAAATTTGAGCTGGCACTCTTCCCCCCTCTCCACAGCTGGGCAGGATGTTGCACAGTCAGGCTATGAATGGAGATGTGGTGTGGTTGGAGTTTGTAGTTTTCCTTGAGTTTCACCAATCATAGCAGTCCCCTGTGCAAACTGAGCCATATATCACCAAACTACTAGTGATTTTATTCTCACTGGAACAAGTTGCCTTTTTTAATGAACTATAGAAAAAATCAAAACTATTTTTTGCAATTTTCACTTTCATCCTGCAACGTCTGTACAAGATTTCATAGCAATTTATCCAACAGTCAGTGTGCATGAAAGGGGTGGGCTTATTGGCTGTCCAAATGACAGATAGTCTGACATTGCCAACACCCCAAAGCATGGCTTAAAACGTGACTGAGAAAGCAAAACATAAAAGCCATACATTTTTATTTGACTGAACACATTATAGGGGAAACTAAACCTTTTTATTTTCAAAATCATACCATCTGGCTTTCTTTTCTCTCTTTACAAGAAGCATGTGGCCCACCTGTGTTCCATACAACTGTCTCCATGTGATACGTCTGGGACCTGGTTTGGTTCTGCACCGAACAGAGAGAGGAAATAGCAAATATATCACCAATCACACAATACAAGTATACCCATTGTAAGTGTGCAAAAAAACCCATTTTTCTGGTCTCTGAGGGGATAAAAGCATCTCAACTGTCCTTTTCATTTTTCTTTTTTTTAATCAACATCGTGCAACTGCCCTCTGTGACAAAATAGTTCGTATAAATACCAACAGCAATGAAACCTGAAAAGCAGCTTGCAGCACACATCTGTGTTTGGTTCCACAAGATCAATCTGCTGCCTAGTTAACCTGTCCGTTTTACAGCCCATGGAAATTCACCAGTATTCCACAGTGTTTTTACCACTAAGGTGTGTTTTTCTTATGTAACATAACAACTCACACAACCCGTAAAAAGAAAACAGGGGATCACAATGTGCTCACAACCTCTTCCACGTGCATTCTCTATATGCTGAAGTAGCTCTACTGGGACACAGGACTTAGCGTTTGTCTGCTCAAATGCTCAACATGCATACCTTGAGCTAAGAATAACATTTATAATGATGATGGCTCTTACAGTGTGTTATAGTGCTTTTGTCACACATGTTTTTCTTTCTTTCTGAAATACTGGGCTTCCATGTGCTGCAACATTCATATGCTGTTCATTTTCTAACTTGTAGGATAGTTTCTTAACTTTTATTTTTGCCCTAACCTTAAAATATTCCCCTTTTATTTCCCATTTATCAGCTTTATTGCACACTGACAGATAGTATAATAATCAGTATCCGCTGGCTTTTCACTGAAGCCATTTTGTGTTTTCACTTCATAAAATATTCAAACTCGGGACTTCATTTCATGCCATAGTTTTTATAGCTACATTGTTCCACAAAATGGAACTATTCAAAATGTCTTGTAAATTTTATACACATCTACCGAAACTTGAGCCAGACATAAATTATATCTTTGAAAACTTTGGGATCTTCACTACAATTTAAACTTGTAGTTCTGGATATTTTAAACAATTCGGTCACTTGGGGATATCGTAAGTAAGTTGGAAACGCAATATTGACATATCATCACATGGTGAACTTGTTGCTTATTTAAATATATGGCAGCATTCATTTGGAGTCATTTTCTTGCCAACTGATGAATGCAAGTCCAATAATCACTGTAGCTCTTTTAGCCTCTTCTGAGTTTCAGTTTTATAACCATTCTCAGCTATTTGTTAATAAAAATGATGAACGTATGAATAAGAAATGAGTAATATAATCAGATGGAGAAAGGAGTGAAACATAACAAACATACTGTACTTATTTTATAAACCCGGTCAAAGAATAATCCTAAAATGTTTGGCAGTATAGAACTTCCATAGTTTAATTCTAAAGGTACATTATACTGCTGCAATTGTTTGAATATGAATTACATAATATTATGCAATAGAAAACGAGGTGGGGAGGGCTGTTGGGGACATTGCCATTACTGAAGAAAAACAAAAAAGATGAGAGAAACAGTGTGATTGCTGATTCGGGACAGACATGGCAAATTAAATGCTCACCATCAGAGTTGTTTACACGGCAGCCACTACAAACTGATTTACAGGAAGTCCGGCAGACGGGATTTTATAGAGCAGGAAAGTGGGCTTGGTAGCGATTTAGACAACATAATTTTCCAGTGGCCCGACGAATAGCAAATTTGAGCAAAACCCTCACAGAACAATCGCTGGCTCGCCAGACGTGCATTTACAGGTGTGAGGTGTTGCATAACGTGCATTTACATGTGTGCCAGTCTGACTTGTTGATGTGCGGTGTAGTGCAGACATGGAAGCATATCCTCACAAGAACAGTGTTGAGCATTCAGTGTTTTTAACACCGTTATACACAACCTCCCACCTCAACGAATATGTGACATTTTATCAACACGCCTCAGTGCTCAGACTAGAAGTACAGGGTTTGTGTTTCTCTGAATGTCTCTGTGTGCTCAAGTGTATAAGACAGAGTGAGAAAGAGAGTGAGAAATGAGAGTGAGTCTTGAGGCTTCGCACTTGTTGTGATGTAAGCTGCCGAAGCTCAAATTAGCCGTGCTTAATTCACAGTGAGCCACTGATGGAATCGAATCACAATTAGTTTGTTGTTTGTTTATAGTTCTATAGTGTTCATTAAATGGGCCCATGGGGGAGTCTGTGTAAGGTGTTTCTGAGAAAAACATCAAAAGTGGCCTGCTGTCTGTTGGGGCCGCGAGAGTATAATCAGATGAGGTCATACGCCTACACACACACGAAACCTCAGCCTCAGTGGGTGTTGTTTGGCTCAGTACAGGTGTTACACCAGAGGTTCTCATTACTGATGCAGACATGGCACCAGAGTGTCCACTGTGAAAACACAGACAGTCGCACATACAAGCATATCAGATGCAACTGACATAGCACAGCAATGATGCAATCTATTTAACACTTGGCTGCAGGTCTTTCCTGGGACTCTTCTGCCTCACAGGAAATGATGTGGTTCTCACCAGGATGTTGCAGTGGAGACAGTAAGGGGTAGGATGTGCAGAAACAAAAGATTCTTAAACAAACAGTTTGAGATTTGAGGAAATAAGCTGATTCGCATTCTTGCTGAGAGTAAGATGATTAGATTCATACCACTTTAACATTCGTCCTGCTAAGTGTTAAGTTAACTACAAGACTGTTCGCTTAGCTTAGCATAAAGACTGAAAACGGGGAGCCTGGCTCTGGAAAGCACACTACCAAAAATAAATAAATCAGCACCACCCATAGAGACTTCATCCACAGTGATCTGTAGTGTAACAAAGCAGAATCCACAGGCATGCGGCTCTGTGAGGCTGTAGCTGAATGTTAATGACAGCATGACAACTTACTCACAATAACAAAACTAACATGTTGATGTTTAGCAGGTATAATCTTTACCATGTTTACCATTCTAGTTTTCAGTGTTAGCATGCTAATATTCGCTAATTAGCACTAAACACAAGGGAGCCAGATGAGGCCGAGTGGACGGAGTGAAATTTGGACTTGATGGCATTAGATGAGTGAGAGATCAGTAAAGTTATTGCATTTCATTTTGAACGGTACGTCAATGTCCGTCTGAAATGTATTGGCAATCCATCCAATAAAGAGAGATATTTTCACTTGGACCAAAGTGGTGGACCGCTTTCATGAATAGAAATATATACTTTGCAGCAAACAGGCTTGGGGAGTAACAGATTACATGGGCCTAACTGAGTTACATAATCAGGATACAAAGGTAGCACACGTCACCTTAATGATATTTCTTTTCTCTTGTCTTTATTTGCATATTTGGTATTGAGGTAATCAAAAAGTAACTCAAAGTAATCAAGTTGTGTTATTTTAAAATTGAGATACTTGGATTAGTTTACTACTATACTTTAATTAAGAAGTCATCAAATGTTAAAAAGGTCTGATTACAGGACCTCTTAGGCTGTGTACAAACTTTAAGATTCAAAATATGATAATAACAATTAATGTTCAGTCAGGAAAGCTAATATTTTCTATCTCTATGCCAAAAATGTTGTACATAATGTTCATGTCTGTCTTTTGTGACATTACGTCATCTAAATACACAGTGTAAAAGTAATGGGATTCCTGCTCATTGTAATTCCAGTAATATCTCCCAGAGCAATCCCCCTCCAGGCATGTTGTTTTTATAAGTATGGGTTTATGGGATTCCACTGGTTCTAATACACATATTCAACTGTTTCGGTAAATTCCTCCTTTAACACAAACTGCCATTCAATCTCTGTGTGTGTGTGTGTGTGTGTGTGTGTGTGTGTGTGTGTGTGTGTGTGTGTGTGTGTGTGCGTGTGCGTGTGCATGCAGTGTGTGGCTGGGCTTTTTAAAGGTGTGTGTTACGTAATGGGGCCACTGGTTTTCCCCATTCATGACAGTTTAACAACAGGGCCCTTCCCCTATGATGCAAGGCAGGCTAAGATTTAGCAACTATGCTGCGAAACTAGCAAAAAGATTAAAATCAACAAAAATGTGAATGTTCATAAAAAAATGTTCTTCAAGTAGTTGAGCTTTGAATACT